GTCATCCGCATATGAGAATGGCCTGCCTACCTTGAGGCACTCACATATGCTATTGATGTACGTCATGAAGAGAAGTGCACCCAAGACGATGCCCTGGACAACTCCACTGGCTATTAGTTTAGGCCTTGAGATAGTTGAGCCAACTTTGGTTATTTGGCAACGGTTACTCAGAAAGGATTTTAACCAGTCTAAAAGTGGATTACAGATCCCAATGGATCTTAGCCTATTGATAAGCAAGTTGTGTGGTACCCTGTTGAAGTAAAGTATTATCACTATCTGTTTCCGATCCCTTTTGCTGGTGATCTCGTTAAAAAAGTCAAGCAGGTTTGTAGTGCAAGATCTTTTCAGAAGACCATATTGTGACGAGTTGATGTGGTTAGATTCCAGTAGGTAATCAGACATTTGATTTTTCATCACCTTTTCCATAATCCTTGAGATGACGGGGGTTATGTTAATTGGCCTGTAATTGCTAACGCTGGTCTTGGCCCCTGCCTTGTGTTTTGGTAGTATATGAGTAGTTTTCCGCTTGTCAGGATATGTCCCAGAATCTAATGGGAGGGTGAATATTTTGAGTAATAAAACTGCCGCATCCATGCTAGCCTTTCTGTAAATTATTGACGATATCTCGTCTGTCCAGCAGCTAACATTTGCTTTTAGGGTTTCCATCGCACCGTTAATGTCACTCACGCTGAATTCTATGCCACCCATCGTACTACTGCTTGTACTGGTTATTTCGATGTCTGGAGCTAGGGACATGTTGGTACTATCAAGAAACCACTCACTGAGAAGTTCACAAATCACCTATGGATCATGGTAACTTATACCTTTATGCTCTAGATGATTTACTAAAAAGTCTTTTGTATTTTTTCGCTTTCGCAGGATGCTCAAAGGTTTTGTATTTTGGACAAACTGTCAAGAGCCTACGCTCTTCAGCCAGTGTTTTCATTTGGTGTCCTTCCTGAAGTGAAAGGAAGGTTGTATGCATCTGATTCAGTACATGAAATTCTTTGAAAACAAAGTACTTTTTTCTTAGTCTTCGCAGTTTGTGTAGAGTTTTCCTATCTATCCTACCCTTGGCCTTGTTACTGTCGTGTTACTTATCTAGTTACCACCACCGTTCTACGCGATATTTTTTCTCGTTTTCACGAAGCTATTACCCAACTTTCTCGGCGCTGTTCTCAGTTCCTAACGTGTGTGAGAATAACGTCATGAAAACATTTTACGATGTGCTCTGAGTTTTCCGAATAACTACACTATCCTGAAACCCTTTTCGTGAAGAGATAATTCGGTCCCTACTAGTGGTGCCTGGCAAGCGGGCATAGCCGCAGCACCGGAAAGTATAATCGAACGACACACTAGTTGCGTTTCAGGGCGCTAAAGTGGGAGCGAAAGACATTAACAAACCCAGAAAGGAGCACCAGCGGATGCCTGGACAGCCAGGTGTTCCCATGGGTGTCTTTTTATTCAAGCGTCACTGTCACCAACATTCAAGCTTTGGAATTCATCTAATTTCCGAACAAATTCTTAGAATGGTCATCTGTCACTATGGCTGACGGGTTGAATATGGAATTGGGGGTTGGTGACCACGTGATTGCACAGAGGCAAACTGAAGTGATTCTTCACATGAATGGCCCATAAGATTTGGATTGTTTGTGCGTTCTCCTACTGATACTGACCACCGGTTAGATCGGTCATTGTCTACTGAGAGAATAAAACCTTTCTAAGATACTGGGAGAGACCGCAGAAGAAATATAGAAAGAGTGAAGAAAAATTAAAATGCTGCGCCCCAGTCCAAATCCATGCGTTTTGAAAACGGCGAGGTGAAATATAGCTGCATTCAGAAGCATTTTTATTTGAGCAAGAGAATTGGTATTCCTCTGACACTGTGGTCTTCGTTCCTAACACCTGTGGGGTGGAAAATGAAACCGTAAGGTGCTGGTGGCCGGAGGTTGATAACGATATCGTGAGAAGATTGACGAGTTTTTCTCAGTGTCTAAGTTAAACATCGTATGGAAGATCACCACAAAATCCACTATCCGTGTCATGTCAGACGTGACGATACGCTCATGCATGCCACTGTAGTCCTTTTTTAGGCCGGAACTGTGCCTTAGCTCCTGTAGACTCTTACTCCAAATGGTCAGAATTTATCCTCGTGGACACCCCAGTTTGGATTTTTGCACTAACTGATGGGGAATACGCTCAACCGTGAGGGAATACCTACAAACTCAGTCACTGAAATAGTAATTCACCTCACTGGGAAGAACTTCAATGACCGATTGACTGACATCGGTTGTACGCGGTCCCATGTTACCCGCAGTCAAATGTGCAAGTAGAAATAATTGTGCCAACATTGCATGGTATCACAGCATCAATATATCCAAGTGTGTTGTTAATCTCCCAATTCACTAACGGAATGCAGGAAACAGTGATACTCACGAATTTCCAGCCAAGCTGTTCAAATCCCGAGTTCTTCAAGCGCGGTGAATTGTTGTCACAGGAAACAGGAGACCAAACAGTTAGGATTTTGAAATTATAAGGTAATTCTTTGCATAATGGCCATATACGTCAGTTCAGAATCAGTAACGCAGACCGTTTGAAGTACACTCCTAATGACTCCTCTCCCAATTCTAACGTTGTAGGGAAATCTGAGGTAGAAGCGGGTACGCCAGAGAAAATACTGATACAAAAAAAGTCGAAAGACTTGGGGGACTTTTCCGAAAGACGTGCAATGCTAATTCCATTGCTACTTACTTCCATTCACTGCATTTACAGTATAAAAAGGAGCTCTATCGATTACGGAGTCTTTGCTTCTGTCCATTTTGTGGAGTGTTTCCATTTTTGGCAGTTTTGTCATTGCCGATTGCTATTTGATAATCTAAAACGCAGCAATATCACCCGGCCTATGGAAGCTATTCCTTCTATGTCGCTTGCTGTTCTTTTATTGTGCATGACTTTCCACTGTGAATCAGTTCTTTAATCAATATGGATCTGTTGCATACTAGAGGGACTCTGGCACACTACGGGATGACCAAAACGCGCTGAAATATTGAATGAAATATAACGGACTGGCCTTCAACCCGGGTAGATTTTAAGCAAAGTTTCCCAACACTCATGACTCGTGGAAGCTATCCCACTGTCTTGTTGGTAAATACCTTTCTTAATAACCACAGAGGTAGGTCTCGGTCCCGCTTTCATTGACGCTGGTCCAAATTATCTGACTGACGTCGCATCCTCCCAAGTGGCACTGCTCCCTGCGCGATTACGAAGCGCTCTTCCTCAGTTCTTGCTAACCGTACATTTGACACTGCTTTGAATTTCATGGCGTCCCTGCGCCCGCCACACCTGGGCATGGAACTCACACCACAGCCCCATTTTGAGCGTTTCATGTCTCATTTACGAACCCTCTGCGAACTTCACAACGTCGTAGCGCGTGTGCCTGAAAAGTGGTGCGCACCTGTTCGGGAAACGCCAGGGATCTAGGCCTTTATTCTCTCAGTCACTTTGGTATAATCAGTGACCTGAGAATGGCCCGAGAGGTGCCGGGTAATCCATGTACTCCAACCAGGGGAATAGCTCCAGAAAGTTGACATGGCGATCACAGAGAAACACGAACAGGAACGTATGTCTTCGGCGAAAACCCGCATGTGAGAACACATTTCCCCTTGTTTTCCAGTTGTTCGAATGCATCAAATATATGAGGCTGCTACCTTCTCATCTGTTGATGGCTACAAGAATGGGTGAGATACAAAGGTCACAGGTACGGACAAGGGCGAGGGAACCCACTGCCTGTGTTTAAGTTCACCACTCCAAGTTGCTTAAAGCCGATTCACTTCTTTTGAATATAATATTGTGAACCGCATTCAAACTTCGACCTCTCATTGAACACCTGAAACCCCCCATTATTAGTCAATTATTGTCATCATTGTCATTTCTATTTCCACTTTCCCTACTTTATTTTTCCATACTTCTGTTCTTTCCTCCTGATACGGTTTGGCCCCTTCCCTAGACCGTACATACCACGGCCTTCTTTTCGATGTTACATTAGTTGGCCTAGGGCCTTCATTCCACTTTGGTTTTCTCCATCGGCTTTCCTTCACTTTCCTCCCTTTCATTATTTATCCAAAACGACATTAAGAGCAACTGTTTGGTGACACGACGTTTGGAGAGCTCATCAGAACTGCAGTCCCAGGACAAACCATGTGTCCACCAGCAGAGTTAATCGGTGCTCAGCCTTCCATCGAGCGTATCAACGCTGAAAATACAAGTGGCTTGATTTCCTGCACCACAACCTACCAAAGACCATGAACCGTTCCTCAAGACCTAGATGTCAGAGCAATGAGATAAGCTGGTCCATATCAGTTCGTAGAACGGATATCGTATATTGCAGCCCCTCCCCAATGTAGACGTTCATCGCAGGTCAAAACCTATGTTATGTGTGATTTTTACACTTAGATGAGACAGTTTGTGCATCGTTTTGGAAGCATTACTTCAACATCCTTTTGGCACCACCGAGTATGGTAGACTGGCAGATACGTAACATAAAAATGCTTGTTTACCAGAACGTGTGAGTTAAGGCCGTAGTCTGACAACTGCTAGCCATAAAACATGACCGAATTCAGGATTTAAGTTTAGAAGATGAGCTGTTTCATCAATGTCAGCATATTCGATACTGCCCGCTGATGATACTCTGGGTGGATTAAGAAAAGCAGTATAGTTGTGCTGGCTTACTTGAGGAAATTTTTTCAGATGCCGAACTAAATAAGGATGTCAGTGGCTTTTGTGACATTCAGTAGCATGTCGAAAGTGGAGTATAAAAAGCAAATAGCTAAAAGATTCCTATCAAATGTATTGCATCCTGTTTCTTCTCTCTGAAGCTGCTGAAATAAAATTCTAAATACTGCCACCAGCTTTCTATCAGCTGCTATCAAACAGTTCCGTTTGCTTAGTTGGCATGAGTTCTCTTTGCTTAGTCAAATAAATTGGGTGTTGAATATAGTTAGCACAATCTCAAGTTGTTTCGCTACGTGTCCCTGTGTTGTTGCGTGTACTTGTGTGATTTTTGAAGTAAGCAGTTCTTCGTACTTCCCTGAATTAAATGGCCACGATTTGCAGATCTTGCTCTCACATAAAAAATGGCCCTTTACTTTAAAGAAATCTTTATTTTTAGTATTGTATTATTTTGTGCTGACACCCCTCCGCCTGTCAGAAAGCACCTCAGACATACTGGCAACTTTTTAGACAGTCTATATTTTAACCTTTCTCAAATCCCGTTTACAGACCCGGCTCACTACCCACTGGAAACTATACAGTTCTCGGGTTTAACCCAAAAGGCTCAAAAAATGGGAAGTAAAATGTATAAAGAGGAAATAAAGTAGCAATTGTAGGAAAATGCAGCTGGTTTCCCCTTTCCATGCTTTTCTCTTTCCCGATAGTCTTCCTTTCCCCCTCAAAGTTGCCTTTCTCAATCAACCTACATGTTTACTCTCCTTCTCAAAGTTGCTTTATTTTCCCTCACTTGTCTACTTTTCATACACGAAGTCGCTTCCCCCCCCCCCCTATTCAGCCCTTTTTATATGGCACCCCGATCATTTTCTACTTTTGAATGCCAGTTCATCTTTATTTCTCATTTCTTCCCCTTCATTTCCCCTTTTACTACCAGATTGGGAAGCCCGGACAACATTTCCGTCAGGCTAATTAGGGCAACATTGAGCCGTAAATCCTATGTGGGGTTAGATGTAGTGCACATGAAGCCAGACGTTGAGCTACTGTATTGGTCGTGCCAATGGGGCTGGTTGTTGAGCCAACTATCAGTGCGTGGGCCCAGAGGTCAGACCGTTTATAAAAATTTAGGACCAGACGTAGGGCTAAATTTGACAAACACAGGGAAGATGCTGTATTGCTGTACACTTCATCCAATGTTATCCAACGTTTTCCCTGTGTCTAGTCCGATGTTTTTGGCCCGGCGTTTGTCAGTTTTAGCCGTACGTTTGACCCTAAGGTTTTACAAACGCCCCGAAGTCTGAGCCCACGTACTGATAGTTGGCCTGACAACCAGCCCCACTGGCCATTCGTTTGACCTGACTGAAACAATGGCACAACGTTTGGCTTCATGTACACTACTTTTGGCTCAACGTGAGATTCATGGATTAACGTTGCCTTAATTGGTCCGACGAAATTGTTAACTAGGCGAGTAGCCTGTATTAATTCTGGCTGTATAAATCTTTGTGAATATCCAGTTTCGCCTTAAAAGCCTCCACCGAAGCATCAGCTACCACAGGCTCCGGTAATAAGTTTAAATCATTAAATCTGAGTTCTACCCGTAGTTTGTTCAACCATGGCTTTTGAACTTTATGTGGTAGCCTCTTGAAAAGTCAGTTCTTGAAGGAGTAAAAAGAGAAGAGGGGTCAAGACCCAAGTCATTATTCATGATATGATGTTCGAATTTAAGATCTCCCCTTTTCCTACGATATGATATTAGTGAGAGATTCAGATCTTCCAGCTACTTTCCATAGAAGAAATACAAAAATCCTGTAACTTACTTTGCCCCCTTCTTAGTACCCGTTCTAAACACTGCTTGTTTGAAGAAAGGACTGGCTGGACATTTGCAGCATTCCAGATGAGGTCTTACATAAGTAAAATGAAGTGCCCTCAATATTTCTTCATCAGATGACTTAGCCGTACGGAGTGACCATAACACGTTGAATGCCTTGACTCCAGCCACGTTACGGTGTGCTGGTGTTTTCAAGTTATGCCTGATAACAACACATAGATCTTTTTGTTCCCAAGTGAAAGGCAATAATAATCTAACTAATGATGTAGGCTAGTACGACCGTTGACAAATATCCATTACTACGCTTTTCTGAGAGTTCATTTCCAGGCCCAAGCGTTTAGACAATTCCGCCAATTCATCTAAGTCTGGAGTACTATCTTATCATAATTATTATGAACAACCGCCGGAACTTTAGCATCTACAAATTGCCACGGTGATTCAAGCATACCTGGTAATTCATTACAATGGAGCAGGAACATAAGACGCACCAGTACAGTATTCAATAAACACCGCATCAACAAGGAATTTATTACTTCTTGCTTCCACTCTTCTCTATCTCGAAGCAAGTTCTTTAGGTATGAGCGTCCGTGTTGAAAGCCGTGTTACTCCTGTGCCAATAGGCCATATGTTCCCCACATGACCCAGTAATTTATCCCTGATTATTTTCTCAAAAACTTTCACTACCTTACCAGTTAAACTGACTACTCGGTAGTAACTGGTTACCCATTACCATCCTAAAAACGGGGCATACCATGGCGTTTTTCTACCCGGGTCTGGGACGGAGATAAATGAAATATCTTTGTTCAAAGTTTGTGGATAATCTCAGCCAAGGTCAGCAACAGTTTCGGGTGTGGAACACCACATTTCAGATTGTTTAGCAATCTAAGCACTATTTCACTATCTAACGATATAGAAACCATTTGTAGGGCGTTAACCGTGACTATACTCAACATTTATGTGTCACTATCTGCCAAAAAGACATAAACAATTAATTTGATACGGTTCCGCCTTTATCCTTGTCTGATTCTGCTAACATATCCAAGTTTTCACTGACAAGTAGATTGGGTATTCCATCATACTTCCTGGTTCCGTGCCTGACATGTGAGTATATTCTTTTAGGACAGGCAATACAGTCGTATGGTAATTGCTTTATGTATTCAATGCGGTGTTGAGTGATGACAGACTTACCAGAGTTGCGAACTTTGCACCACTATAACCTAAACATTATACCACTCGTCTGAATAAATAGATTCTCGTAGCGCTTCTTCCGCCTCGGCAACCTTTGTATCTCATTGTATATCCAAGGGAGCTTGTGAGAAGTCCTCTGTGGTACTGACGAAGGAATGAAAGGTGTTACACTTTCGAATGTTGTCCTAGATTCCTTCCAAGCCTTTTCAATAGTCCAATTTGTACTGACAGACCAGCCCACTGAGATTGCCATTTCCCGAATCACCGTCAAGTCTGCACGCCAGATATTTAGTCTAGAGTTGATGGATTCATAAACCGAGTCGTAAGTTCTGAATTTGAAAGCAAGAACTACGTGGTCACTATTTACTAGCGGTGAGAGGTGCTTGAAGTCACTCATCCTCGTACTGATGAATAAAGACTGAAACCAACAGTGAAGACTTATGCTCTGAATCAAAGTGCGTAGATACAACTACATTTTGTGCTGGAGCACATATGAATGTAGTCAGCAGCAAATCGATATCGAAACAGTTGTACGGATATGTGGCTATGACCTCCTTCCAGTTAACATGCGGAGCACTTAGGTCCCACGCTATTAAGTACATATTGCTAGTGTCCCACTTACTCAGGCAGCCTAGCAACAAGTCATCTGTATAGCAATTAGGACTACAATAGGTGACTATGATAGTAACGGTGCCATGCATCGACTTAGTGTCGCAACATGCTATTTCATATGTGCCCCTGCTCTTGACACCGTCAAAAGTAGTTTAGTACTTTCCTGAATATACAGGACTATGCTATCTTCCTTACTACTGATGACTCTATCCGTCCTTATGCAGGTAAATCCTGGTATAATTGGTATAAGATGTGTGGCTTCTTTTAACCATGTTTCTGTTATTGCTACCACAGCAGGTTTCAAGTCTCTAACAAAATCTCTTAATTCAGATAATTAATTCCTTAGGTCACTGAAGTTAGTATAGCATGCCGCGACTAGGACGATGGGCAGAACACTTCGAGGAACAGCTTAACTAATCATCATCATCATTATCAACATAGGACCAGGCATTACTGCGTAACGGTCCGAGTTGCCACACCTCATATCAGCACATCAAGTAAAAAGGTAGTGAGGTGAAGGATGAAGATAAGTGAATGCAGTCAAAAGAAATATAAAGTACGAGAAGAAAGGAAAGAGGAGTGACAAAATAGTGAGATTCGGTATAGCGTTGTTAAGATGAGGATAATGTGTGTATACATCTGCGCCACTGACTTCGGTTCTGAGCCATATCACCTAGGGTCTCCAACCACTGGTTCCTCTTGTCCCGTGGACCCCAACCACCTAGTCTGCATCGTCCTACATGGCTTAAACCAACAGTCAGAGACTTCATACATTGGTGCCATGTTTTAGTCTGGCCACCTCGGGCCTTTTTCCAGCCTGAACCCACCTCAGCCAACATTGTGTGACGAGGCAATCGGTGACTAGGCATACGTAGTACGTGTCCCAACCATCTCAGTCGATGAAGGTTCACAACCTCGTCGACTGACTTACCTCTTCTCCCTAAAACTCTACACCTAACTTCTGCATTACTCACATGGTGACACCACGGAATACGTCCTATACTACGAAGGCAACGGTGGTCAAATACCTGTAACCTTCTCATGTCTTCCACTTTCAATGGCCATGTTTCACAGCCATACAGTAGAACAGAGCGGACTGCTGTGCAGTACACGCGACCCTTAATAGACAAACGAATATCACGGCGGCGCCATAGGTGGCGCAAATTGGCAAAAGCCAATCGAGCCTTTTGTATCCGTGCAGAAATCTCATCGGCAACTAACCCACCGGGTTGATCCTACTTCCCAGGTAAGTGAAGTGGTCAACACACTCAACCACTTCACTCTCTATTGTTAACCGCGGTACCGCTGAAGACCAGTCCTGGAGCAAAAATTTGCATTTGGGTGGTGAAAATCGCATCCCAAACATTCTCAAATTCCCACTCAAAGTGTTCAGAAGACTCTGCATCTTGTCAGCGTCTTCACCTAACAGGACTATGTCATCTGCATATTCTAGATCTAAGGAAAATTCACCTGTGATCCGGTCAACGTCTTTGTAATTAGGTGACGAGAGGGAAACCTCCATAAGAATATCTATGATAAAATTAAATAAGAATGGGGATAGTGGGCATCCTTGACGGACACCACTTGATGAGTATAGCTCCCTGGACAACTCACCATAGGCTCTAACATGCCCACAAGTGTTCGAGTAGAGAGCTTTCAATAAGGTGATGTACTTACTAGGCACGCCTTTCAGTGACAGACACTGCCATAAGAC